TGAACGGCATTATTATTATCAGCGTGGTGATGCGGCATTATTATTATCAACGTGGTGAACGGCATTATTATTATCAGCGTGGTGAACGGCTTTATTATTATCAGCGTGGTGAACGGCATTATTATTATCAGCATGGTGAACAACATTATTATCAGCGTGCTAATGTGGCATTATTATTATCAGCGTGGTGAACGGCATTATTATTATTATTATCAGCGTGGTGAACGGCATTAGTATTATTATCAGCGTGGTGAACGCCATTATTATTATCAGTGTGGTGATGCGGCATTATTATTATTATCAGCAGTGGTGATGCGGTAGATTGGGACTGGTCAATATTGTGATTTGTCTGTACGCAAGGTCGCACCTACAGACTATTATTATTATAGATCACGGACTCCTCTTGGCCCTGACCGCATCGTCGTTAACGCTCTCACGGTCTCCAACATTGAACGCTGCAGGGGGAGCGGCGCTCCCGGTCTCCGTCAAAGTGCAGCCCACCTACCAGCCCCAACGTAAGTTAACCCCTTTGCAAGATAACCGAGTGAAATACAGGGTGCCACAAAAAAATGTTAACACGTACATGGGGGACTACCGTTTTCAATGGAAAAAGAACGGATAACAATACACCATAACACGATGACAAATGTAATGTTAATAGCTTCAAAAAGTCAGTGGCCCACTTGTTCGCCATCATTGTCAACACGTGCCCTGGAATCTTCTCCAGGTGATCTCTCCAGAGCCTGGAGGCAGCAGCACATTTCTCGAGGGATCGTTGAAAATTCTCAAGACTGTGTGAGCATTTTTTTTTAAGCGCCCTGTAAATATCCCACGAAGCGTGATTCTACGGGTAATTTCAACCGCGTTTTAAGCAAGTGCCGCTTGTTCTTTCATCCACTCTTGTTGAAAAACAAATCTTAACTCGTAGCTTTGGCCACCAAGGGGGTGGGTGGGTGGGGGGGCAGGGCATCCTCCTGCCCCCCACGCTCGTCACGCTACTGACCAGAATCTATTCCCGTGGGGGATCAATAACCGATTCTGAAAACCATCAGCGGCCAAGAGATCCCTCCGCGCGCGGATACGACAACGCTCGCGAGAATTATTGGAACGCGTGACAACGGACGCGCCGCGACTTTGCCCCGCGGGGTCGGCACGTTCTTCCCGCAGTGGCATGATGGCAGCGGCGGGGGTAGAGGCATGGGGCGCGGCGTGTGTGTGGCGTGACGAATGCCTGGAGGCACGCCGTGGCGATGCTGGGGTTCTCACATGGGGGGGGGGGGCAGGCTGGAGGGGCCAAGTGCTGTTAGTGTACGCACGAAAGGCAGACACATCCCCCCGTACATAGCCTCAACAGAAAGTTGCTCTTAGTCGAGTAGCGAGTAGCACCTATGAAGGCCGGCACGGCCTTCACGAGCGGGTGGGTGGCCAGCACCGCGCCCGGCCGAATTTGTCACCGATGTTGGCCGTGAGCGGGAATCGAACTCGGTTCGCCCGGTTCGTAGGGCGGCGGAGCTAAACCACACTACCCCTACCGCTCCCGACAGTGGAAAACAGACGCGGGTAGCACGGGAGAGTGCAATCAACATCTGAAAATGAATTACTTTTTACCAGCAACCCCATACCCCCCACTCCCCAACCAACGATCCCCCGTATAGCCTTAACAGACTGTAGGGGCAAGTGCTGTTAGCGAGTAGAACCAATGAACGCCAGAACGGCACACGAGGGGGTGAGTGGACAGCACCACGCCCGACCGCCTTTGTCTCCCCAGTGGCGATGTTTACTACACACCGCACCAGGTACTCATTTGAGGCTGAGTCGACCTAGGAGAGGCTCAGGACCGGTTCAAATAATCGCCACTGGTGTTGTCCGTGAGTGGGAATCGAACTCGGCTCGCCGGGTTTATAGCGCAGGGCGCTAACCACTACACCACCGCTCCCCACACAACAACAACCGCCATTCGCCACTAAGTGGCGGTGACGTCACCACGACGCTTGTGCCAGGCTAGGTGCACTGTGAGGCCACGTGACAGGTCACGGAACAGACCCAGCTGACTGAGATGACTGGTAGATTCACCAGATTGTACCCCCTCTGCCAACTTGCCGCATCCTAGCCGCCCGGCGTTCCGTTCGTTGTTGTGAGCGTCGCTTCTCTGCCCTCCGTTGTTACTTAAGTGGGCGACTTGCCTCCAACTGCCCAGTAGCAGCGTCCTTCACGAGCCTTCTCCAGAGAGAGGAGGCTCACACAAGGACACACACACAGGTGGAACACACACAAATATGGAACACACACACACAGATATACACACAAGGGCACACGTACAGGTGGAACACACACACAGATGGAACACACACACACAGATATGCACACAAGGGCACACGTACAGGTGGAACAAAGGCAACATAGGGGGAACACAGATGCACACACAGAGAGATAACTCTCACTAGGGACACACACACACTAGGGACACACACTAGGGACACACACGCACGAGAGACACACACACACTAGGGACACACACGCACGAGGGACACACACACACTAGGGACACACACACACGAGAGACACACACGCACTAGGGACACACACACACTAGGGACACACGAGAGACACACACACGCACGAGACACACACACGCACGAGGCACACACACACACGAGAGACACACACACACAAAGGACACACACACAGGACACACACACACGAGAGACACACACACACACTAGGGACACACACACGAGAGACACACACACACTAGGGACACACACACACACACGAGAGACACACACTAGGGACACACACACTAGGGACACACACTAGGGACACACACACACACGAGACACACACACACACGACAGACACACACACTAGGGACACACACGAGAGACACACACGAGAGACACACACGAGAGACACACACACACGAGAGACACAGACACACACACACGAGAGACACACACGAGAGACACACACTAAGGACACACACACACGAGGGGGACACTGGACAATGCGGCTCTCCAAAGCAGCGGGTCAATGCGGGTGAGGTCAGCTGCTAGAGACAGCCAGCGGTGTTGACGCGAACACGGCCGTGTTGACATTCACGGGCAGCCTTGAATACCAAACTCATAGATACAGGACACCCAGCACTCTAAATACAGGACACCCAGCACTCTAGATACAGGACACACAGCACTCAGATACAGGACACCCAGCACTCATACAGGACACCCATCACTCATAGATACAGGACACCCATCACTCATAGATACAGGACACACAGCACTCATACAGGACACCCAGCATTCTAGATACAGGACACCCAGCACTCTAGAGACAGGACACCCAGCACTCTAGATACAGGACACCCAGCACTCTAGAGACAGGACACCCAGCACTCATACAGGACACCCAGCACTCATAGATACAGGACACCCAGCACTCATAGATACAGGACACCCATCACTCAAGATAAAGGACACTCATCACTCATAGATACAGGACACCCATCACTCAGATACAGGACACTCATCACTCATAGATACAGGACACAGCACTCATAGATACAGGACACCCAGCACTCATAGATACAGGACACTCATCACTCATATATACAGGACACAGCACACAGATACAGGACACACAGCACTCATACAGGACACCCATCAATCAGATACAGGGCACAGCACTCATAGATACAGGACACCCAGCACTCTAGATACAGGACGCCCAGCACTCTAGATACAGGACGCCCAGCACTCTAGATACAGGACACCCAGCACTCTAGATACAGGACACCCAGCACGCATAGATACAGGACACACAGCACTCATAGATACAGGACACACAGCACTCATAGATACAGGACACCCAACACTCATAGATACAGGACACTCAGCACTCATAGATACAGGACACCCAGCACTCATACAGGACACCCAGCACTCATAGATACAGGACACTCAGCACTCTAGATAAAGGACACTCATCACTCATAGATACAGGACACCCATCACTCAGATACAGGACACCCAGCACTCAGATACAGGTCACCCAGCACTCATAGATACAGGACACCCAGCACTCATAGATACAGGACACACAGCACTCATAGATACAGGTCACCCAGCACTCATAGATACAGGTCACACAGCACTCATAGATACAGGACACTCAGCACTCATAGATACAGGACACCCAGCACTCATAGATACAGGACACTCAGCACTCATAGATACAGGACACACAGCACTCATAGATACAGGACACACAGCACTCAGATACAGGACACACAGCACTCATTCAAACAGAACACCCAGCACTCATAGATACAGGACACTCAGCACTACTAGATACAGGACACTCAGCACGCCTAGATACAGGGCACCCGGCACTCCTAGATACAGGACACCCATCACTCATAGATACAGGACACCCAGCACTCATAGATACAGGGCACACGGCACTCATTCATACAGAACACCCAGGTCTTACTAATACAGGACACCCGGCACTCATTCATACGGGACATCCAGCACTTACTAATACATGACACCCAGTACCAATACCATACATACAGGACACCTAGTACTCACTCATACAAGATACTCAGCACTTACTCATACAGAACACCCAGCACTCACTCATACAAGATACCCAGCACTTACTCATACAGGACACCCGGCACTCATTCATACAGGGCACCCGGCACTCATTCATACAAGACATCCAGCACTCATTCATGCAGGACACCCAACACCATGAGATAGGATGGTCCCACCAGACAGGACACCCGGGCACGCTGCTGGACAGAACCGTCGGACAGCACACCCACGCGACTAAGGTGTGTGGGGGAGGTCACCCCCATCACTCAACATCCTCGTACGTTTGCAGAGTCACGGTGATTCGAGAGGCAACTGCGGCTCTATCAGCTGCGGAATCTGAAGCTGCTCCTGCTGCTGCTGCTGCCGCATCCGCATTGTGTCCGCGTGCGGGGGGGGGCTCACCTTGATCAGGTCCAGGGGGTGCGTGCAGCAAGCCGCGCCCGCAGAGGCGAGGCCCCCAAAGTACCAGCGAGACACGCGCTGGGAGTCGCCCCCCATCCTGAGATTCTGCTGCTGCTAGTGCTGATTCTGCTGCTGCTGCTAGTGCTGGTTCTGCTGTGGCTGCTGCTAGTACTGATTATGCTGCTGCTGCTAGTGCTGATGCTGCTGCTAGTGCTGGTTCTGCTGTGGCTGCTGCTGCTAGTACTGATTATGCTGCTGCTGCTCGTGCTGATGCTGCTGCTAGTGCTGGTTCTGCTGTGGCTGCTGCTGCTAGTACTGATTATGATGCTGCTGCTGCTGCTGCTGCTTACTAGTGATGATGCTGCTGCTAGTGCTGATTTTGCTGTGGCTGCTCGTGCTGATGCTGCTGCTTGCTAGTGCTGATGCCGCGTCTGCTGATGCTGCTGCTGCCGCCGCTGCTATTACTGACGCTGCTGATACTGCTGCTTGCTTGAAAGTGCTTCTTGCCGCCGCGTGTTACTGCTGCTGTTCGCACTGCTGCCTCCAATGCCCTCGCTTGCTGACGATGCGAGTGATTACTTTCTTTTTACTACCGCTGTTCCGATTGGCGTGCACTCTCACTTCTTCTCCTCCACCTCACTCGCTCGCTCACAACTACCACCACCGCTCTTGCTGCTGCTGCTGCTGACCGGAGACTGACAGAGAGGCGCGCTCTGACCGCTGCCAAAAAGAGCAGGGCGAGTAGGAGCAGGAGGAGGAGGAGTCGAACCGAGCCGGCGGGAGAGGGGCGACACCCCCAACACCTCTCCCCTGCACTCTCCTCTCACTCCTACCCCCCTCCTCCTATCTCATGTCCTCCCTTCTCGCCCCTGTCCTCCCTTGCCCTCTCCTCCCCTCTCTCCTGCCCTCCCTCCTCCGCTCTCTCCTCTCCTCCCCTCTCTGCTCCCCCTCTCGGCGCGCCAACGCTGAGAGGCGGGGCCACGTGGCCGTATGGCGCCACGTGGTCCCCGCCTCCCCGATACTTCCTGGTCACGTGCTATCACGTGACGGGGAACACGCCCCTCCCCCCCTCCCGCCGGGCACGATCAGCTGTGCGTGACGTCACGCCGGGTGGCGTGGTGGGGGGGCCCGTCACTCAAGAGCCCTGCGATTGGGTAGCTGTCGATTAACTCGAGTCACGATTCGATTAGTCGATTATGGCGGGCAAAGATTCTATTGCTCGATTATTGGTGAAGCGATCATTACGAATAACGATTCAGGATCAGCGATTGGCTATAACACGATCGATTCAATTGGTCTAATTATTACGGGAGACGGTTCGATTAATCGATTATCGGTGGTGCTATAATTGCAGGGGCAAGCCTCGATTAATCGATTGACTGCAGCCCGATCGTTGCGAGTTCCGTTTTGATGAATACTGGGAATGATCAGTTTAAGTCGGGGTCACATGCCTGTCAACCCATAGGGGCCGTCCATAAATGACGTCACGCGATTTTGGACGATTTTTGACCGCCCCCCTCGTCACACGACGTCACAAAAAGTCAGACCCCCCCCCTCAAATATGACGTCACAAAGCTCTGCCCCCCCCCCCCAAAACCATATTTCTATTTTGAAAATAAAAAAATGCTTCAAATCGCTTTAAACTATTGTCATTGTAGTGCGTATTTAATGTGGCGCTGCACTCTGATGTTGTAGGAGTGTTGTTATAACAATTAGTGTTGTTATAACAATTATATATTTATTTAAAGTTGCGTAATTTTTTATGTGACGTCACATTTCTCAACCCCCCCCCCCCCCCTCGTCACACATTGTCACAAATGTCTGACCCCCCCCCCCCCCCAGGTGCGTGACGTCATTTATGGACGGTCCCATGGTCCCATACGCTTTAGCCGTAGTCTTGTACAGGGAAATTGAGTTTCCAGGTCCGTACGCCGTACAGCCGTTTCAACACGGGCAACAGCACAAATAATGTGTCTATTTGTTTGTGTTTCTCCCTTGTGATGGGACTTTGTAGGATGAACGTTGAGATTTTTAAGGGGCACGGGGTTACTAATAAGGTCTGAATTGGTCTGTAATAAGGTAGAGCAATGATAATGGGTCGACAGGTATGCTATACACTATACACTACACTACTATACACTACACTATACACTACTATATACTACACTATACACTACACTATACACTACACTACTATACACTACTATATACTACACTATACACTACACTGCGATACACTACACTACTATACACTCCACTATACACTACTATATACTACACTATACACTACACTATACACTACACTACTATACACTACACTATACACTACTATATACTACACTACTATACACTACACTACTATACACTACTATACACTACACTATACACTACACTTTACACTACACTATACACTACACTACTATACACTATACTATACACTACACTACTATACACTACACTACTATACACTACTATACACCAGACTACTATACACTACACTACTATACACTACACTACTATACACTACACTACTATACACTACTATACCATACCTGTCAACCCATAGGGTCTACCCGTATTCTTGTACAGGGAAATTGAGTTTTCAGGTCCACACGGTGTACAGCCGTTTCAATACGGGCAACAATACGGCCAAATAGAAAAAGGTGTATTGTTTAACCCTTCATAATTGTCTGTGTGTATTGTTATACATTTACAACATGAGTGTGTGTCCATCCACATGTCAAGCAAGCAGCAGCATCGGCATGCAAGATCACAGACCGTATTGTGGTGATAAGTCACATCATTGAGAACAATGATTAAAACTTATCCGTAAAACAGTTTTTGTTAAGGATCATATTTTTCGTCTTATTTGTGTTTCTCCCTTGTGACGGGACTTTGTTGGATGAACATTGAGATTTATAAGGGCTCGGGGTGACCAATGAGGTCTGAATTGGTCTGTGATAAGGTAAGGCACTGATAAGGGGTTGACAAGTATGGGATTATGTTCTTGGAAGACTTCAACTGATACCACGTTAAGTGATCAGCTATTTCCAATAAGATTTAACAAAAATACAGGAGATACGTTCCAGCACTCCAATACTCCATATGTAAAGCCAGTGTTGTTTCCCTATGGGACAGTGTTAGTCTATGGGCAGTGTTAGTCTATGATGGGCAGTGTTAGTCTATGGGCAGTGTTAGTCTATGATGGGCAGTGTTATTCTATGATGGGCAGTGTTAGTCTTTGATGGGCAGTGTTAGTCTATGGGCAGTGTTAGTCTATGGGCAGTGTTAGTCTATCGGCAGTGTTAGTTTATGGGCAGTGTTAGTCTATGATGGGCAGTGTTAGTCTATGATGGGTAGTGTTAGTCTATGGGCAGTGTTAGTCTATGATGGGCAGTGTTAGTTTATGATGGGTAGTGTTAGTGTATCGGCAGTGTTAGTCTATGTTGGGCAGTGTTAGTTTATGATGGGCAGTGTTAGTCTATGGTGCAGTGTTAGTCTATGGTGCAGTGTTAGTTTATGATGGGTAGTGTTAGTGTATCGGCAGTGTTAGTCTATGATGGGCAGTGTTAGTTTATGATAGGCAGTGTTAGTCTATGATGGGCAGTGTTAGTCTATGATGGGCAGTGTTAGTCTATGGGCAATGTTAGTCTATGGACAGTGCTAGTCTATCGGCAGTGTTAGTCTATGGGCAGTGTTAGTCTATGATGGGCAGTGTTAGTCTGTGATGGGCAGTGTTAGTCTATGATGGGTAGTGTTAGTCTATGATGGGTAGTGTTAGTCTATGATGGGCACTGTTAGTCTATGATGGGTAGTGTTAGTCTATGATGGGTAGTGTTAGTCTATGATGGGCAGTGTTATTTATGATGGGCAGTGTTAGTCTATGATGTGCAGTGTTAGTCTATGGTGCAGTGTTAGTCTATGGGCAGTGTTAGTGTATCGGCAGTGTTAGTCTGTGATGGGTAGTGTTAGTCTATGATGGGTAGTGTTAGTCTATGATGGGTAGTGTTAGTCTGTGATGGGTAGTGTTAGTCTATGATGGGCAGTGTTAGTTTATGATGGGTAGTGTTAGTCTATGATGTGCAGTGTTAGTCTATGGTGCAGTGTTAGTCTATGGGCAGTGTTAGTGTATCGGCAGTGTTAGTCTGGGATGGGTAGTGTTAGTCTATGGGCAGTGTTAGTCTATGGGCAGTGTAGTCTATGATGGGCAGTGTTAGTCTATGGTGCAGTGGTAGTCTATGATGGGTAGTGTTAGTCTGTGGTGCAGTGTTAGTATATGGGCAGTGTTAGTCTATGGGCAGTGTAGTCTATGATGGGCAGTGTTAGTCTATGGTGCAGTGTTAGTCTATGATGGGTAGTATTAGTCTATGGTGCAGTGTTAATGTATGATGGGCAGTGTTAGTCTATGGGCAGTGTTAGTATATGATGGATAGTGTTAGTCTATGGGCAGTGTTAGTCTATGATGGATAGTGTTAGTCTATGATGCAGTGTTAGTCTAAGCAGTGTTAGTCAACGTGCAATGTGAGTCTATAGGCAGTGTGTTAGTCTATGGTGCAGTGTTAGTCTATATCCAATGTGAGTCTATAGGCAGTGTGTTAGTCTATGGTGCAGTGTTAGTCTAAGCAGTGTTAGTCTACGTGCAATGTGAGTCCATGGGCAGTGCTCACCACTGTGCAGTGTGTCAGCCAACGCGCGCCGAAGTCCACGCCTTGCTGTGAGCTCCAGGATAGATCTAATCGATTAATCGTTCACATGCCTGCCTGCCTGCCTCCCCCCTACCCCATTAACAACTTCGATTAGCACGGTTCAAGGAAGTTCAACGAGCACGCACCACACGCATCTAAGAATGTCCGCAGCGGAATCCAGCAGAGGGCAGAGTTCATCCACGTGCGCAGACCGTGTCAAGCAGTGTGCATACTCTTTGTTTCTCTCGGTAAAGTCACGGAGTTAGAAATAAGATCAAACAAATCACGACGTTTCGATTGCAACGCAAGCGACGATCATCAGGTTGGGAAAACCACGGCAAGAAAAAAAAATTGCTGGAGTAGGAGAGAGAGAGAGCTGCCGTGGCAAAGGTGTTGCAATCGAAACGTCGTGATTTTTGTATTATTTTTTTATTTCTACCCACGTGACTTTACCGAAAGAACCAAGGAGTATGGATTCCTGTAGTCACGAAAGCTTCACATCAAGACGCAGACGTGTACGGTACTGTCTGTTCAAAATGTTTAGCGTGCTTCCCGACATGCAACAAACTTGGAATTTGCCATGTGGGTACTTTGCAGACTGTACACCATGCAAAAAATTATTTTAAAAACGCTTTTGTTTTTTTTAGGGGGTGAGGAGTTCACTAATGCATTTATTTTTTTGCACGGCAAGTGACCTGTGACGTCAAATCTGTCACGTGACCCGCGCACGTGGAAGCGTAATGCATTGTAGTGTAGCGGTTAGCGCTACGCCGCGCTACGAACCCGGCGACCCGAGTTCGATTCCCGCTCACGGCCACCACCGGTGACGATTATTTGAACCGGTCCTGGGCCTCCCCTAGGTCGACTCAGCCTCAAACGAGTAACTGCTGTGGTGTGTGAACATCGCCACTGGGGAGACAAAGGCGGCCGGGCGTGCTGGTGGCCACCCACCCCTTCGTGTGCCGTGCCGGCCTTCATAGGTGCTCGGTAACAGCACTTGCCTCTACAGGCTACACGGTGGATTTTGTATTTATCCTGTGTGTGTGGGAGGGGACTGCGTAGCGATTCGCGCGCTGCGCTACGAACCCGGCGACCCGAGTTCGATTCCCGCTCACGGCCACCACCTCCACCACCGGTGACGATTATTTGAACCGGTCCTGGGCCTCCCCTAGGTCGACTCAGCCTCAAACGAATAACTGCTGCGGTGTGTGAACATCGCCACTGGGGGAGACAAAGACGGCCGGGCGTGGCGAATCAAAGTCCCGGGCGGATTCGGGTAGTTAAGCTAGTATACCATATACATGGGCAGGGAGAAGCGTGCTTCAAAAAAAATGTTGAACACTTACATGGGGACTATCGTTCTGAATGGAAAAAGAACGGATACTAATACACCGTAACGTGATAACGAATGTAATGTTAATAGCTGCAAAAAAGTCAAAGAGTCTCTTCCCACGTGTTCGCCATCGTTGTCAACGCGTGGCCTGGAATATTCTCCAGGTGGCCTCGAGAGCCCGGAGGCAGCAGCACATGTCACGTGGTCATTGTTTTGCAAAAAAACATTCTCAGAAGTGTGACGATGTTTTAAGCACCCTGTATAGACAATATACACGGTACGTCAAAGTCAACAGCGGCCGGGCGTGGAGCTGTCCACCAATACCCTTCGTGTGCCGTTCCAGCCTTAATAGGCGCTTCTCGCAAAACAGCAATTGCCCCAACAATTTGTTCAGGCTATACGGGGGATCTTTGCCTTTGTATATACTATAACCACAGTAGGGGGGGCACAGCCAGTGATATCTGCCAGTCATGCCGGTCAGTCAACCCATGGCACCTGCTGAGTCTGTGGGGCCGTCCATAAATGACGTCACGCGATTTTGGACGATTTTTTACCCCCACCCCCCTTCGTCACACGGCGTCACAAAAAGTCAGACCGCCTCTCAAATATGACGTCACAAAGCTCTGCCCCCGCCCCCCCCCAAAAAATATATATAAAACATGCTTAAAATCGCTTTAAACTATTGTCATTGTAGTGCGCATTTAATGTGGTGCTGCACTCTGATGTTGTAGAACACATTTGTTAAAAAGTCTATTTAAATAAGTGGGACGTGTTGTCTATATTTATTTAAAGTTGCGCATTTTATGTGACGTCACAATTCTCAACCCCCCCCCCCCCCCTCTCGTCACACATCGTCACAAATGTCTGACCCACCCCTCCCCCCCAGGTGCGTGACGTCATTTATGGACGGCCCCTGTGCCGTGACCTCCTGTCAGCGGGCCTTCGACACTTCACGTGGCCTCAAAGTGCACCTGGCCTGGCATAGGTGCCGTGGTGAATTCACCGCCGCTTTAGGATGAATGACGGGCGTTGTATATACTATGAGGCACGGGGCAAGGACATCAAGGGAAACACAAAATGTAGTTCTGAAGAAATGATAACTGCAGCCTTCCCGCTCGTATGTGGTTCCTCCACCTGCCGCCTAAGAGTCGCCCTCCCTCTAAGAGTCGCCCTTTCTCTACGAGTCGTCCTTTCTCATAGGAAGGTTGAGCCGATGCAGCGAGAGAGGCAGCTGTCAATTGAAGGCGGATTCTCTCGTGTAGAAGAGCAGAGCGAAGTTATTCAAAGTGAAGAAAATCCTCTCTGGGTCAGGTGTTGTGCGTCTGACACTTGAACTCACTCACTCGCCCACTCACTCACCCACTCAACCACCCACTTACTCAACCACTCACCCACTGACTAACCTGCTCAGCTACCAACTCACTCAACCACTCTCCCACTCAATCATTAGTTCACCCACTCACTCACCTACGCAACCACCTACTCACTTGACCACTCACCCACTGACTCACCTGCTCAACCACTAACTTACTCAACCACTCACCCACTCAATCATTCACTCACCCACCCACTCAACCACTCGCCCACTCAATAATGCATTCACCCACTGACCCACCTACGTAACTACCTATTCACTCAACCACTCACCCACTGACTCACCTGCTCAACCACCAACTTACTCAACCACACAACCACTCAATCATTTACTCACCCACTCACTCACCTACCCAACCACCCACTCACTCAACCATTCACTCACCTACTCAACCACCCACTCACTCAACCGCTAAATCCTTCACTCACTCACCTACTCAATCACCCACTCACTCAACCACTCACTAACTCACCCACTCATTCACACTCACCCACTCAATCACACTCTAAACTGAAACTAAACTAACCGTTTTATTTTACCAGGTAAGGCCCATCTGAGCCATATAGCTTCATTTCAGACGCGCCTTGGCCACAAATGCTAGCTCAACGAAGTGGCTTATCACGTGGAAATTTAAAGCAGCCAAATAATTTAAATGCAAGTGGAGAGAAAACCCGGAGGACCCGGAGAAAAATCCACGTGACCACGGGCAGAGAGAGAGAGAGACACGTAAACTCCAAATATGCAGCAGGCGTCAGGGTCGGGATCGAACCCACCACCTCCTGTTTACCAGGCGAGGTAGTTAACATCTCCCCACTCACCCACTCACTCACTCCACCACGCACCCACTCACCGTGTGCGCAGCGGTGGCAGGAGGTGATTGGGTCACCGAGATCTGTTCGCGGTGTTGCCGCGTTGAACTTCATCACAGTTGCAACTGCAAACCGGGTGACGACTCAGAGAGAGACGTCTCCGAATTTGTGTTTTCTGTGGGAAAGGTGGCGACCCGAGGCTGGGAGCATAGACACGGGAGCCCAGCGACGCAGAACAACAATTGATTGTTCTGCGCTGCTCTGCGTAGAGACGCACGGATAAATGCTGGTTTATAATCAACAAATTCACATTCGAGGCGAAAGAAGAATATTGTTTTATTACTTGTGATTGAGATTGAATTCCCCCTACTTACTGTAGCTTAACCTACGGTGTGAATCGATCGTGTTACAGAGCACGTGGAGATGTGAAAGCGGTGGCGATGGTGACGCTGGCAATGGTGATGTTCACTGCGATGGTGGTTGATGATGACGATGGCGTGATGATGTTGATGATGATGACGGTGGTGGTGATCCCGATACAAGGGCCGCCATCTACTTTAGTGAACAGAGGTCATTTGAGGAAGGGATGTCAGAGGCAGCTCTGCGATATCCGCTTCCGCGCGCCGTTTTCGAACGACGCGGGCCCTCCGTCTCGTGGCCTCCAACAGCCCCGTTGGGGTCACGAGCGAGAAATACAATTCTGTGAGGTTAGGGCCCTGGTGCGGGCGAGGGTAGGGACCCTGGTGCGGTGCTAGTGTGAGGTCTAAGGTGACCACCCCGTGGGTTACTTGTGAGGTGCGCGTGAAGCCTCCGTCGATGGCAGGGTCAGGGTTATCAGACGACATCCCCCGTTGTGTTGTGGGTGGAGAGCCCCGTGAGACTCTGTGGCAGGTCTGAGACGCGGGCAAACTGCGAGGTTGTGAATGAAGACCACGGGGGAGCGGGGCGAGCTCTGGGTCACGGCGCGGTGAAGGCGACGTTGTCTCGCGCTGCGAAGCGCGCGCGCGCCCTCAGTGGGGCCCATGTGGTACCCGCGTGGTCTCCATGTGGTCCCCATGTAGTCGCTACGTAGTCCCCGTGTGATCACCGCTTGGTCCGCACGTGATCCCCACGTGGTCCCCATGTGGTCCCAGCTTGATGCTCATGTGGTCCCTACGTGGACCCCGTGTGGACCCCATGTGGTTCCCCTTGTGGGCCCCTTGTGAACCCCTTGTGATCCCCTTGTAGGCCCCTTATGAACCCCTTGTGATCCCCTTGTGATCCCCGCGTGGGCCCCACGTGGGCCGCCCGTGTGGATGCGCAGGAGGCCCTCGCGCTGGAGACGCTGCCAGAGCCGTGCCTCGATGCGCGCGTCGTGCCGCACGTAGAGCACGAGGCGACTGAGCGCCGTCTCGTGCAGCAAGCGGGCTGGGTGGCGCGCGTAGCCACGCGTCGCGTACCCGTAGGCCGACACCTGCACGGTAACGGCACCATCATCATCATCGCCATCATCATCATCGCCATCATCATCATCATAGCCATCATCATCATCGCCATCATCATCATCATCATCGCCATCATCATCATCATCGCCATCATCATCATCGCCATCATCATCATCATCGCCATCATCATCATCGCCATCATCATCATCATCGCCATCATCATCATCGCCATCATCATCATCATCGCCATCATCATCATCGCCATCATCATCATCATCGCCATCATCATCATCATCGCCATCATCATCATCGCCATCATCATCATCATCATCGCTATCATCATCATCGCCATCATCATCGTCGCCATCATCACCACCATCATTATCATCGCCATCATCATCAGCATCGTCATCATCATCGCCATAATCATCATCGCCATCATCATCACCATCATTACCACCATCACCATCGCCATCATTATCATTATCATAGCCATCATCATCATCATCGCCATCATCATCATCATCACCATCATCATCATCGCCATCATCATCACCATCATCATCGCCATCATCATCATCATCACCATCATGATCGCCATCATCATCACCATCATCATCACCATCATCATCGCCATCATCATCATCACCATCATGATCGCCATCATCATCACCATCATCATCATCATCATCGCCATCATCATCATCATCGTCATCATCATCGCCATAATCATCATCGCCATCATCACCATCATTACCACCATCATCATCGCCATCATTATCATTATCATAGCCATCATCATCATCGCCATCATCATCATCACCATCATCATCATCGCCATCATCATCACCATCATCATCGCCATCATCATCATCACCATCATCATCATCATAATCGCCATCATCATCACCACCATCATCGCCATCTCTGTTCAAATCATCGTCACCGGTGCTGCCTCTCGTTTGTGACGCTGACGCCCGTGCGCCCGCTGCTGCTGCTGGTGGTGGTGGGGCAAAGCGTGGGCGAACCCCTCCCCCCCCCCTCTCTCCCACCTCCTCTCCACCCCCCTCTCCCCCCCTCTCCCCCCCTCCTCTCCCCCCCTCCTCTCCCCCCCCACCTCTCCACCGCCTCACCTCGTCGCAGGTGTGCAGGGCCAGCAGCAGCTGCACAGCGGCGGTGGATGGCCGATACACCCAGCGCGCATTCGTGCTCAGGGCTCGCGACGGGAGCAGCCTTGGGGGGGGGCACGGGGGGGGGGCACGGGGGGGTGGCGCGCGGGGGGGGAGGAAGGCCGTAGGGGGGGGGCACGGGGAGGGGGGGCCCGGAGGGAGTTGCGGGGGGGGGGTGTAAATTTCGTCATTGGAATCGGTGATGATATTCATCAGCTCCGTGTGTTTCTTTGTAGTGAGAGGAGAAACGTGGGGGGAGGTGGGTGGGGGGTGGGGGGGTGGTGCAGAGATACAGAGAGAGACAGGACAATGGGGGGGGGGGGGTGGTGGGGACAGAGATAGCGAGACAGACAGGGGGACAGGCAGACAGAGAGACAGACAGGGGGACAGGCAGACAGAGAGACAGACAGGGGGACAGGCAGACAGAGAGACAGACAGGGGGACAGGCAGACAGAGAGACAGACAGGGGGACAGGCAGACAGAGAGACAGACAGGGGGACAGGCAGACAGAGAGACAGACAGGGGGACAGGGAGACAGAGAGACAGACAGGGGGACAGGCAGACAGAGAGACAGACAGGGGGACAGGCAGACAGAGAGACAGACAGGGGGACAGCAGACAGAGAGACAGACAGGGGACAGACAGACAGAGAGACAGACAGGGGACAGGCAGACAGAGAGACAGACAGGGGGACAGCAGCACAGAGAGACAGACAGGGGGACAGGCAGACAGAGAGACAGACAGGGGGACAGGGACACAATGGGGGACGTGAAGAGACGCAGCGTGATTAGGCGACGCAGAGACAAGAGAGGGAGACAAGGAGGACCACAAGCAGACTCCACTGACGAGTCAACCCGTCTCTACAATGAATCAAATCGCTGGGAGGGAGGAGGTTGGAGGGTGGTGGTGGGTGTCTGTGGGGCCGTTGTGGGGAGGGCAGGCGCAGAGGGGGGTACAGGGCCCCACCTGTTGCGCAAGTAGCGCACGAAGTCCGGGTGCAGCAGCTTGAAGCTCCGCGCGGTGGCGTTCGCTCCGAGCAGCGCGGAGAGCCTGCGGCACGCGGAGACGGGGCGGTGATGGTGGTGGTGGGGGAGGTGGTGGTGGGGATGGTGGTGGTGGTGGGGATGGTGATGATGGTGGTGGTGGGGATGGTGATGATGGCGGTGGTGGTGGGGAAGGTGATGATGGTGGTGGTGGTGGGGATGGTGATGGCGGTGGTGGTGGTGGGGATGGTGATGATGATGGTAGTGGTGGTGGGTATGGTGATGATGGTGGTGGTGGAGGTGATGATGGCGGTGGTGGTGTGGATGGTGATGGTGATAATGGTGGTGGTGGGGGAGGTGATGGTGGTGGTGGGGATGGTGATGATGGTGGTGGTGGGGGAGGTGATGGTGGTGTTGGGGATGGTGGTGATGGTGGAGATGGTGAAGATGGTGGTAGTGTGGATGGTGATGATGGTGCTGGTGGGGATGGCGGTGATGGTGGTGGTGGTGGTGGAGATGATGATGATGGTGGGGATGGCGATGATGTGGTGGTGGGGATGGTGAAGATAGTGGTGCAGATGGTGATAGTGATGATGGTGGTGGTGGAGATGATGATGATGGTGGGGATGATAATGTTGGTGGTGGTGAGGATGGTGATGATGGTGGTGGTGGGGATGGTGATGATGGTGGTGGTGATAATGATGACAACGACGACGATGATGATGACGATGATGATGCTTGTGATGATGATTATAATGATGATGATCGTGATGATGGTGATGATGATCTCACCACTGTGAGTGTCCCGGGCTGTGTGTGATGACGTCGTGCACCATCGCGTAGTCACGTGCATCGTCCGGGATCACCACCAACCTCATCTCCTGCTCAACCATCACCACCACCATGAACAACATCATCATCACCACTAGCATTACCATCATTATCATCGCCACCCCTACCACCACGGCCATCACCATCATGATCACGACAACCACCACCGTTATCATCATCATCACCACCATCACCTCCACCATCACCACCACGATTATCATCGTTACCACCACCACTATCACCACCATCGTCACCAACACCACAGTTACCACTATCATCATCATTACCACCACTATTATCATCACCACCACGATTATCATCGTTACCACCACCACTATCACCACCATCGTCACCAACACCACAGTTACCACTATCATCATCATCATTACCACCACTATTATCATCACCACCATCACCACCACGATTATCATCGTTACCACCACCACTATCACCACCATCGTCACCAACACCACAGTTACCACCATCATCATCATTACCACCACTATTATCATCACCACCATCACCACCACGATTATCATCGTTACCACCACCACTATCACCACCATCGTCACCAACACCACAGTTACCACCACCATCGTCATCATTACCACCACTATTATCATCACCACCATCACCACCAGTCCCGTGTTCTGTGTCCCCTTGTTTCCCGCCCCCTATACCCGTGTCTCATGCCCCCCCCTCGCCCCGTGTCTCCCACCCCCGTGTCCCCGTGTCCCCTGCCCCCCGTGTCTCCATGTACCGGCTGGCCATGCGAGGCGCTGTCCATGGTGCTGCCGCTGCCGCTGCTGCCGCTGCTGCCGCTGGCCAGCGTGAGGAACGAGGTTCGCGAGCCGAGGTCCCGCACCGAGTCGCGCGTGGGGACGCCCCGCAACCTGCGCCGGACGGATGACGACGGTGGCGGCGGCGAGGTAACCGCGGGCTACGAGGCAGCGAGCTCGACCAGACGCCAACCCAAGAACTCCCGAACCAGACGACAACAACAACAACAACACGCACGTGCACCCCCCCACCACCACTCCTTATCCCCTGTCCCTCTGTCTCCTTGTCCCCCCGTCTCTCTGTCTCCCTTGTGCCCCCGTCTTCCCGTCCCCCTCTTTCCTTGTCCCTCCCATCTCCCTGTCCCTCTGTCTCCTTGTCCATCAGTGTCCCCGTCTCCCTGTCTGCTTCCCTCCCCCCTCCGTCTCCCTGTCTCCTCGTGCCCCTGTCTTCCCATCCCCCCGTCGCCTTATCCTCCAGTCTCCCTGTCCCTCTTTCCCCGTCTCCCTGTCCCGTTGTCCCCCCCGTCCCCATCCACCTGTCCCCCCGCGTCCCCGTCACCCCGTCCCCAAGGTGTCCGCCCGTGCCGCGCCGCACCTGAACACGTGGTCGTGTCGATCGATCTCCGGGCCGAGCCCAGATCCGCGCAGCGCGGCGGCGCTCCCCACAACGGCGCAGCGCAAACACAGCCCGCCGCGGGTAGGGGTCACGCCGTGACCTCCCGGGGTAGGGGTCACGCCGTGACTTCCCGGGGCAGAGGTCACGCCGTGACCTCCCGTTGCCCGCGCCGCGTCGAAAAGGTAGCGGTTGGCGGGCGAGTCGAGCACGGAGAGGGCGTCCTGAATCACTGAGCCAGGGAGAATCAACAACATCATCATCAGCAGCAGTAGCAGCAGCGTCGTCATCATCAGGGGCATCATCAGCAGCTGCTTCATCAGCAGCAGCAGTATGGTTATCTACAGCAGCGTCGCAACCACCGTGACCTGCATCAGAACTGCCAACAAATCGCCATGACCATCATCGGGATAACCCAAGGTCAGGGGGGGGGGTCATGTCAGGTCATCCGGGTCATGGCAGCTATCTCCGCGTGTGTGCGCGCGAGGCTATGTCTGTGCGTGTGTGGTGCCGGCCACCCACCCCGTCGTGTTCCCTGCTGCCCTTGACATAATAAGTACAGCACTTGCCCCCACGCGTTGTGTAGGCTACACGGGGGACCTTTGCTTTAATCGTGCGTGGTGCTTGTGTGTGGCCGAGTGTCTGTGGTTAAGATTCGTGTGTTTAACACGTAGGCTTTCGCGACCAATATTATTCATAATAAAGGTTTTTGGGTTAGATCGCGTTTATTTATAAATGTGTCGTAACCCTCCACCACCCGACCCGGCCAATCATCAAAAAAAGTGTCACGTTGACAAAAGACAAATAGTTCACTACTTTAGCCCACCGGTGTATTGAAGAGTGATTCCACATTTACAGTTTGAGTACGACGTTTCGCTGGTAAATACATCCAGCATCATCGGGCAATTCGCCAGAATGGTGCTGGATGCATTTACCAGCGAAACGTCGTACTCAAACTGTAAATGTGGATTCACTCTTCAACACACCGGTGGGCTAAAGTAGTGAATTATTTATCTTTTGTCAACGTGACACTTTTTTTTGCTGATTGGCCGTGTCGGGTGGTGGAGGGTTACGACACATTTATAAATAAACGCGATCTAACCCAAAAACCTTCATTATGAAGATTCGTGTGGGTTGTGAGTTTGGGGGGGGGAGGGTGCTCAGTACCCGCCAGGCTCACGTTCTTCCACCCGTGGGGGGCCAGGTGGGACGCGAGGCGCGCGCGCGTGGCGCCCCACTTTGCGTGCTCGTTCCACATCAGCACGGGCACGCGCGCCTCGAAGAGGGGGGCCAGCCACGCCACGTGACGCACACGCGCGCGCACCCCGTCCGGGCACTGCGGGGGGGGGGGGGGGAGGGGGGCACGGGGATTCGGGGGGGATGGTTGGTCACGTGAGTAAACCCACGTGTGCTGGGGTGTGAGCAAAGCAGGACTCAAAAAGTCCCAAAACGTTAATACGGCCAGCAACAATCGGCACTATTTGAGCGGTGACGTGGACCAGTGGCAGCCGTTTCGCGGTGCGGTTCGATACCGCCAGCCAGAACTTCCTCTTATATGTTTCATCTATTATTTTAAAGAACTATAGATGGTATACATTTTTAATTGTATATCATTTTATATTTGTATGTTCATGAGTTTCAATGTTGCTGATGGCGCTTCGAGTGACAGAAAGTGCCAAAAAATTGGATCGCCTTCACTTAACCAGGTAACTACTGCGGCTGTATTAACCATAAGTAATTTTTTTTTATTAAAAGACGCTTTAATGAAATGTACCGTGCTAGTAATGGAAAAACTCCAGGACTCCAGGAAGTGGCCCCGAAGCTTGCCACGACGTCAGGGACCGTGGTCATTTACAACCAACGTCAGTTGAGCGTGGACAATTAGAGCCAAGCCGAAACATAACATATAAAAAAGAATGTTTAAAAATATATTTTCTTTATTTTTTTATGATAGCATATAGTTTTTTTGTCATCAGTATGACACAACGTATACCAAGTTTCCAGTCGATACCACATTGGGAAGTGGGTTAAAATTGAGTTACAAGATTTGAGGATCCAACAAAGACAACAACAACAGACAGAGTGAGTTAATAAAAAACGTTGTAATAAACTACTGCGACCACTGCTGCACCACGCGTCGTCTGATATGCAATTGACGTTAAAGATTTCGTGTCGTCAATTGAAAAGAGGAGGCCATTGTGCGCGGACGCGTGATGGTCCAAATTAATGTTTACATTTTGTGACCTGTTCATTACTCAATTGGTAAGCCGCATTAGGGGGCATAGGGGCCGTCCATAAATGACGTCACGCACCTAGAAGGGAGGGGGGGGGTCAGACATTTGTGACGATGTGTGACGAGGGGGGGGGGGTTGAGAAATGTGACGTCACATCACAATGCGCAACTTTAAATCAATATAGACAACACGTTCTACTTAATTAAATAGACTTTTCAATAAATGTTTTCTCCTACAACATCAGAGTGTGCAGCGCCACATTAAATACGCGCTACAATGACAATAGTTTAAAGCGATTTGAAGCATGTTTTATCTTTGGGGGGGCAGAGCTTTGTGACGTCATATTTGAGGGGGGGTCTGACTTTTAGTGACTCCGTGTGACGAAGGGGGGGGGGGGGGTAAAAAATCGTCCAAAATCGCGTGGCGTCATTTATGGACGGCCCCATAGCCCCTTATCGGCAGACAAGTTCCCACTTGCAGGCTTAGTGCGAATGCACTGCTGCCACGTGTAGGGGGGGCGGGGGGCATTCCCTTTGAATTGTTGAGATGATGAGATGTGATGCAAGAATTTCCGAAGCAATTTAGCGAGCGATCTATCGATGTTAAAAATATATATTGTTGGCGTAAAGAGGTAGCGGTGATTGAGTCTGTAATTGAGCGAGTTTTGTCAGAATTCGGCTCAAGAGATGATGATGATGAGGTTATTTCCAAAGTGGAGCAGAGCGAGGGAAGAAGTGGAAAGAGAAGAGAAGTGAAATGACCTGCGGTGTGATGAGTTGGTGAGTGCGTGAGTGGGTGTCCGAGTGGGTGGTTGGGTGTGTTGTGAAATGCAGTATGGTAACTGAGTGAGTGAGTTGGTGAGTGAGTGGGCGGGTGTCTGAGTGAGTGGGTGAGTGAGTGTGTTGTGAAATGCAGTATGGTAACTGAGTGGGTGAGTGAGTGGGCGGATATCTGAGTGAGTGGGTGAGTGAGTGGGTGAGTGAGTCTGTTGTGAAATGCAGTATGGTAACTGAGTGGGTGAGTGAGTTGGTGAGTGTCTGAGTGAGTGGGTGAGTGAGTTGGTGAGTGAGTGGGCGGGTGTCTGAGTGAGTGGGTGAGTGAGTGCGTTGTGAAATGCAGCATGGTAACTGAGTGGGTGAGTGAGTGGGCGTGTGTCTGAGTGAGTGGGTGAGTGAGTGTGTTGTTGTGACCCGCAGTGTGGTGGTGGTGACTGAACGCAGTATGACGGATGAGGCGAACCAGTCCGGTAGACTGAGTCCTCCACATAGGAGGAGGAATCGACGAGTGAACTTCACGGGAACCGTAGCCCTGGCAGTAGCAATAGAAGAGCGGCAAGGAGGCGACTCTGCGCACTCCGTGTACCTACCTGGCTGTGTGCGTACGTCTCCTCCTCCCCATAGGTGTCTCCCAGCCACGCAGGTGC